TTGTATAATGTGGTATAATGTAATCACCTAAAAACAACAACATAATCTTGAGTAGTGACAAGTTCTAGTCAAGAAAAATAAATTAGGTTAAAGGTGTACCTCCTTACATAGAGTACACAGGGATAGTCTTTGGAGAGGAAATATATGAGCTAAAACATGAATGAAATAGGGAGGATGAGCATTTCAGGCAGAGAGAATAGCAGGTGCAAATGTCCTGAGGCAGGAGAGGGCTTGGCCTGTGTGAGGAACAGCAAAAAAAAAAAAAAACCAGAGTGCCTGAAGTAACATGACCAAGGGGAGGACTGAATGGAAGAAAATGAAGTCAGAGAGGAAGCTAATGGCTAGTCATATAGGGCTTTTTAAGCATGGTACAATCAATGTTAGTGCATTTTCAGTATAGTTGGTACATAGAATCTGAAGAGGGAGATAAGAATGGAAGTGGCACATCAGTGGCAGATAGATCACAAAGACCCTTGTGAATCCAGTTGCAAAGGATGGGCTCTGTAATAATGGCTAGGTGGTATCAAACCACCAAGAGCACCCCAAAGTAAGCAGACAGGTATCTGGGAAAAGACTGTCTGTGGAAGTTTCCCTAGGACCGAGCACTGCCTGCCTCAAGAAAGGCCCAGTGACCACATCAAAGGTCCAAACTCTGCTGTCCCCAGCCTGAGGAGGCCCAGCACCAATATCCAAGGAGGCTGAGCAATTAACCACCTCCTCCATCCCACCTTAGTGGGCGCATTAGTAGCTCAGAGGTAGACTTCTCATCTTCCATGCAGGAGTCTGAGGTTCAATTCTTGGCCAATGCACCTATGTGCAGCTACCACTTGTCTTGTCAGTGGAGGATTTCGTGTTACTATGATGCTGAACAGAATTCAGGGGAGCTTCCAGACTAAGACAGACTAGGAAGTAAGGCTGCTGATCTACTGCCGAAAATCAGCCAGTGAAAATCCTATGGATCACCACAGTTCTGTTCCATTTTGCGTGGGGTCGCCATGAGTCAGGGAAGAACTTGACGGCAGCTAACCAAAACAACCGCCCCCAACTTGCAGTTTCCCACTTCTGAGACTTGGGACCTACTATCTCCTCTGCCATCGTTATGTCCCTCCTTCACCTTTATTTGCTTTTCTAACTCCCATTCATTGTTCCAGACTCCACTGGCCATCTCCTCCGTGCTGTCTTCCCTCCTCCCCAAACTGGGTGAGTGCCTCAGTGCCCTGTGTTTTCTGCTAGTATCAGATCTACTGTTATTGTCCAGTCTCCACTACCAGCCTGTGCCTTTTCCAGGGCTGAGACCGTGTCTGATGCATTTCTGTATATTCAGCACCCAACGCAGGACCTGGCACAAGAGATTACCAGGAATATTGGGTCCGTTTCTGAAGTGAAGGGGTGGCAGCCTAAATTTTCTTCATGGAAGAGCAGTGTCCTTCAGCAAATCAGTATCACATCCCCTTCCTCGAATATAATGGCCCTCGATGGCTTCACTCTGCCATCTCTCGTTTCTGCAATGTGGCTTTTGAAGCCTACCCTTTCTCTCTGTCCATTTTCTTCACCCTAAAGGCATAAAGTTCAGAAGAGATTCACTGAGTGCTTTATTTCTGAATGCTTTAGATCTTCCTCCATCTCAAAGAAGAATAAAAGAGAAAAAGGTTTCCCTTATTGCTTTTCTTTCTGCCATTAATTTACTTTTCAAAAGACATCTTGTCAAGCTGAAGATTATATCTTTAAACCATGTTTTTACATTCACTACCTATAAAACCTTAGATTATAGATCTCCTTAAAGGACCTAAGGGAAAATACATTTGATGAGTTTTATGCCTTTTGCTTTGTGGGAGCCAGTCATTCTTGGAGAGGGAGAGGCACTGATCTGGTAAATGGTTTGCTGCTTTTGAAACTGCCACTGCCATGGTATTTTAATTTCTAAAACTGCTAGGAATGCAGCATTCTCGAGGACTGGGACAGATGCTGGCCTAGATTCTGTGGCTTGGATGGCAAAAAGATGGCATTGCTCAGCTGGTGGTTTGGGCCCACAGGTGAGGAGGACACTGGGGCCCACGGCTGATCCAGGAGATAGCTTAAACCCGCATGTCTCCATATAGCACCCAGATTACCTCACTTACCTCCTAAAGAGCCTTCTCGTCTCTGCTTTCTTCCCTCTCCCCTGCACCCCACAAACCATCCTGCAAATCCCTCCACTGGCAGACTTCACAGAAAGCAAGGTGTGTGTGTGTGTGTGTGTGTGTGTGTGTGTGTGTTCGTGTGTGTGCACACATGCCAGTGCCCTCATCATGTCCACATGTGCACGCCCCAGTGGAGAGTGGGGAAGTGGGAGGCATGGACACGTGTGTGCTAGATGTACCGCATTCAAATCCTGACCTACCAGCCCTGTGACCCATGAGGCTTAATTTCCTTAGCTGTAAAATAGAGCTCATAAAACAAATCTTAAGAGGTCCTCGATGTGATTAGATAAAATAGCATAGATAAACCTTACTATTCCTGCCCTTCTGTTTTGTCACACCATCATTCACCATGATCATATAATGACTCCTCAACTCTCAAGGGTTCTCTATTTCGGCTGCATTTAGAGTCACCTGCGGAGCTTTCATAACTACTGATGCCTGGCTTCCAACTCCAGAGATTCTGATTTAATTGGTCAGGGGTGCAGCCTCTGGACATCAGGCTTTTTAAAACCCCCCAGGTGATTTTAACTTGTAACCCAGGTTAAGAACTACTGCTTGCAGATCAAGATTGAAGGTCTTCTGTAATTTGCCCACTTTGCCTGGCCAATTTGGCCCCCGGTCACTTTCTAACATGTAAATAATTAATGAAAATTAATTACTAAAATAAATTAATTTTAAAAAGTGAAAAGTAAATTAATGAGAGAATGAGAAGCAATAAGTCTTTTTTTTTCTTCTTTCAGATTGAGGAAGATCTAAAGAGTTCAGAAATAAATTCTTCTGAACTATATGCCTTGAATAATAACAGCAATGGTATAACAATAAGGTGATGCTAATAATTCAGGAATCCGTGTGTAGTGCAAATGGTTAACGTGCTTGGCTGCGAACCAAAAGGTTGGAGGTTTGCGTCTACCCAGAAGCACCTTGGAAGAAAGGTCTAGTGATCTACTTCCAAAAAATCAGCCATTGAAAAACTCCTACGGAGCATAGTTCTGCTCTGACATATGGGGTCACCATGAGTTGGAATCAACTTGACAACAACTAGTTTTACTGGTTAATAATAATTTACTATGTGCCAGGCATTTCACTAAGTGTTTTCTATAGCTTATTTTATTTACATTCTTTATCTTCCCCCTTCCTCATTCCTAACACATTCACATCTATACATACATCCCAATATTCTTTCTCACCTTCAAACATTGTCTCGTGCTGTATTTCCTATCTCTCAATGGCTCCTTCACCATCTTTGCCTAGTTCAAAAAACTTTCAAGACCTGGGTCGAGCCTCATGCCGTCCATGAAATACACACTCATTGACAGGTAAAACTCTTTCCCACTTGGTGTCTTTCAGCACTTCATTTGTGTGCCATATATTTTGGCTTTAACTCAGCAATTAATTTCCTATGGCTCTAAAATCTCCGATAATTGTTTCATGTATATATACGTCTTACTATTTCTCTAACAAGATCGAGGATTCTGAAGGATAGGGAGCACTGATATAGATATTGGTTAACAGAAATTTCTTGATTACCTAGTATACATTAAGAATGAGATTCAGTCTTCTTGGAGTTCACAGCCTAACAGGGGAAACTGATAGTTAAACAGAACTTTCAGTGTAATGCTACATGGTCTTTATTTGAGGCATGGCTGGAGTGCTGTGGGGATACTGAGGACAGATGGCGTGATTGACCTATGGGTGGGTCAGGGAAGGTGAACCAATTTTCATTGGCTGGCCCCTCCATATCCACTCTCCACTCTGGGAGGTTGACCACTATGTACCGTGAATTTTTGAGCTGACTCTTGAATTCATTCACTTACTTAATCAACCCATGCTTAGTAGGTTCCTTACCATATTCGATACACAGTGCTGGCCTCTGGGGATACAATGCAGAACGAAACACACCTGATCCTTGCCCTCCTGATTCGTGTCTATTGAGAGGAGACAGGTCATAAATAATCACAAGAAATATGGGACTAAGCATATAATTACTAATTATGAAAAATGCAAGGAAGGAAAAAAATAGAGTGCCGTGAAAAAAATGTGGTATTTGAGTTAAGAACTGAAGCAAACAGGGGAGATCAATAGAAAGAATAGAAGAAAATGTTGAGTCCAAATGAAGGAAAATTGAAGAAACTCAATTCAATCTTTATTTGCTTATGATTTTTATTTCAGTGTGTCCATCTTATCTTAGGAGCCCTGGTGGTGCAGCGGTGCAGTGGTGAAGCACTAGGCAGTTAACCGCAACGTCGGTGGTTTGAAACCACCAGCCACTCCATGGAAAAAAGATGCGGCAGTCTGCCTGCATAAAGATTACAGCCGTGGAAACCCTATGGGGGCAGTTCTACTCTGTCCTGTAGGGTCACTATGAGTCTGAACTGACTCGACGGCAATGGGTTTTGTTTGGGTTGGTCTTATTCTGCCAATTAATAGTGGCTCGATGAATGAACAAATATTATTAACAAAGAACTAAGAAGGTTCTCATCATACTTGGTTTTATTGGGCATTGATTATTTCAAGAATGTCTGCCTAAGATATGTCTCCTAAGATATGGATTGAGTTTTCTCCTCACTTCTTTTGGTTGCTCCTAAGTGACAAGAGCAGGACCGAGCCCCTAGTTAACAGTTAACAACCAGTTGTTCGATGAATGGCTGAGTTTTGTGAGTTACGGAATAGTTGACTGGAGGTCACATGGCCTGGTAGAGAGGACAAAGTAAAAAAGTCCATGCTGATTTGCATGTTCTCTCAGCTGAAAGAGGTCTTTATCCAGTGGCCAGTGCAGGTGTTGACATCCGCTGCATCTGTCCAGCCTGTACCCAGAGGCGCTCAGCAAGCCTGCGCCTGCACTTTCCGTCCTGGACACGTGGCACCTCCATTCTCTGGTGCAGGGTTGTTGCACTCCCTCCTCCTTTCCCGGGTGCCTGCTCTGCACGAAGACCAGGAGCTCCAGCAACTCCAGCTACCATCCGCCTTGGCTCCTGCAGAGATAATTTCCCAGGGGAGGAGGAGGTCAGCATACAAGAAGGTGGGGGAGGAAGGTGGACTGTAAGGTGGAGGAGGTTAACGTACAAGGAAAGTCTTGGACTGTAAGGAGGGAAGCCATCGCATTGCCCTAGAGTGGTTTGCAACCCCTCCTTGGGGGGCTGCCTTGGTGCAGCCAACTGAGACCTCTGTGCTCACTGCCTTGCACTTAATTTGAAACTCTAGATGGAGTGAGAAGAGGCCACTGGGAGACTGTTTCATAAAATTGGAATGTGTGATTCCATGGAAGATGGATAGCAGAGTAAGGCAGGGAGGCAACCCCCTGGGAAGAATGACATGAAGCCACTGGACAGTGTAAAGAGCAGGGAGCCTGGCTCGGCTGAGGTTGAACAGACACCTATGTGGAGAGGCTTGCTGGGCATTTGTATGAGGGTTTGCAGATTGAACCCCCCTCAGTCTCTGATAACAGGCCACGGTGAGAGATTCTGTGCGCAGGGCATTAGAAGGTGAGGACACAAACGCTGATCATGGAATGTCTCTGGAATCCCGCTCATATACCCCCCTAAGCTTGGGCTGCTGCCTCCTCCAGGTTCTGAGATGTTGGCCAAGCCCATCTCCTCTCTGAGCCTGAGTTTTCCCCTGTACAAAATGAGAAAGATGGACTAATTCAATAGTTTTTTTCATTATTAGTTTTTATCACCATTTTTTTTCCCAAATGAAATCCTACATAGACCCCAACATTGATGTCAGATGAAAGTGGAGCTGTTATATTTGAAGATGGGGTGCTTATCAGGCTCGCCCATTCCCTGTGGGCAGTGTCTGAGACCTCTAGGCTCCTCAGATCACAGTGTGAATATTATTGGATTACGTTATCTCCGTCCCCCCTCCAGCTCTGTAATTATACTCCCTGATGGGACAGCCGCAGCAGGATTCTCTGTCTTTATTTCTTCCGCCTCTGTGACTCTGGTCCCCATAGGCAAAGGTTTGCTAAGAAAATCCCTGGGGACCCACGTTAATGGGTCCTCATGGTGGCTGACTAACTCCCCAGTCTTAGATTTTTTTTGCCAACATGATCTCCTGTCAGGCTGAAAGTTCAATGCAATAGCCCTAAGGCCACCTGCTGTCCACAGCCTGCCTGGAGCAAGTTGACTGGAACAATGTGAGCTGCCTGCTGTGTGTGGAGAAATGGGGCTGGAAGAAGGAGAGCCCAGTCCTCTGTCCCCTGACCTAGCCCCACTATCACTAGCATCCCCCCCTTTTTCTAATCCCCCCATGTGTGCATGTGATTCACCACTGCCACCTCTGAGCCTTTCATTGGACCATCGAAGAGGCATTTCTAGATAGCCCACACTCCCTGTTCTCTCCAATGCTGTGTTGCGTGGACTGGAATCCAAACAAGTCCTTGTTCTGAGGACTTTTGGAGAGCTCTAATTATTCAGGCAGGACTCACATCTGTCCCTTTAAGACAGGCTGAACTTGTAACCATGAACTGAGGACATGCCCCTTCCTACTCCCTTTAAGTCAGGCTGAGCTGATAACTACCAACTGGAAACTGGTAACCCTTCCCCACTGCCCAAAATGTTAGTCACTGCAATTGTCTTAGACTCTCCACTCTGATTCCCAAACTTTCCCTGACTCTTTATCTACACTAGAACACGAATCTGTAGAGTGCAATGGTTAAGAGCTTGGGTACTGGTATCTGATGGTCTGGGTTCAAATCCCAGCATGCTCCTCCCTAGCTAGAGGACGTTAACCAAGTTATCTAACCTTCCTGCCCTAGCTTCCTCATCTGTAAAATGGGGATAATAATACTATTTACCTCCTAAGGGAAGAAATGAGTTCATATCCATGAAGTGTTGAAAACAGTGCCTGGCAGAGAATCAGGGTGAGTTATTACGTTTGCTCAGGGTCCTTTGTTCCTTTTGGCAGGGATGTGTGGCAATGGGGTGAATGAGAGCTGAAACCTAGTCCACACTCTACTTGGGAAGCCCTGGGTCTTGACACTGGGCTGTATAAGCTCAGAGTGGCTTTTCGCCCAGTTCATCCCTTTAGGGAAGTGCCTTTTTCCAGTTCGCAGGAGAGCGTGTTCCACGCTTTGTCCTGGTAGTTGACCTCCTTAGTATTCATTCTCAGCCTCCTCCTTAAAAAGGACTGGATGAATCTTCCTTCATAAGGACTCTGGCTTTGACCTACCTTCTTGGCTCACCCCATCAGAAGTCCTTCTACAAGATATCAGGAAGCTTGTTGAGACACAACTTGCACTTCCTTTGACTAGCAAGGAGAAATTTAGACAAAGTGCCAACCCAAGGCAGATCCTCTACCAATGGAACATTCCTCATGGAGGTATCTCTTCCTCTTGCTTATTATAATAGATCCTCCCACATGTGTTAGCTAGTTTAATCATCAATACAACCCCGTGAGGAAGGTAATGATATCATCCCCATTTTATAGGGTATGCCCCTGATGAAGATGGGCAGAATTGAGATTCAAAGGCCTGTTTGATGCCAATGTTATGCTATTCTGTCTCTCATTTAGAACTGCTCTCCCAATGAGGAGACAATAACCTATCACCATCTCATTTTTGTCCAGGCCTGCTAATTAATGGAGATCTCCCTTGAATTCTAAAGAAATTGGAATCTGTGATTTAAAGATTTTAAGCTTCGAAGTAAGAAGTTTTCATCATGTTGTCTTCCTCAGGTTTAGGTCATAGACTCAGAGATTCTGGGTGGATGGGACCTTGGAACCATCTTACCCAACCACCCGTTGGATGAATAAATATCTTATACAACTTCCTGACAAGTGGTCATCTAGCCCCTTCCTTCCTCACATTATAGTACAGAAGAAAGTCCTTTCTCGCTAAGCCAAAATACCTTTCCATAGTTTCTCTCCACGGGTCCTACAACTTAATCTCAGTGGCCACACAAAAGAAATCACATCCCTGCCCACGTGGTAATTCATGTCGGACTTGTCGCTTCTGAGTTCTCTCTTCTCCATGCCAAAAGTTGTCAATGCTTACAGCTCTTTTTGTTAGGACATAGGTTTGAGTTTTTCAGCTTCCATTGGTTGCCCACTTCTGTTTGCCAATGTCTGATGAAGTATGGCACCAGGGCCAAGCTCAACATTCCTAATATGTCAGAGAATAATCTTGTTCTAGACTCTTTATTTCTGTTAATCTAGCCCTTCACTTTGGGGCATCCATATTATGCTGTTGATTCTCACTGCGTGGGCTGTCACTATGCACTCAGCCTGTTGAGTATCACATGCCTCCCACCCCATCTACCTGTGCTTCAATAGTTTGTTTTATGGACCCAAGACAAGGACCTTAGATTTACCTGTCCAAGTTTTGCTTTGCTTGCTTTGTTTTCTTTCTCTCTTTCCATTTTCCTCATCGTGGCAGTCAATTGAGGTTAATTCATATGTTTATTGGGTAGCTCATATGTTTTTCCATCATTCCATGTAATACATGGAATACAAATAGCTTTGTATGCCTAGAAAATTGGAAGCTTAGGGATTGGGGCCTGCACTGAGATTCTTGGAGTACAAAGGGAACTTAGAGGAGAAAGCTGAGCCCAGAAAGAAAGCATGATGACCCAGGGACTCTCAATGAGTTAGTAAAATAGCTGGGATTCACATCCAGGTCCCAGACTCCTTATCTGCAATGGATGACTTTTTTACCTTGATAACTGTCTTCCCTAGTGTCAGTTGGCTCATTCTGCAGCTATATGTGATTGCCCCAACCTTGCTTTTACACATAATCTTTTACACTACAATGACACCTGCTTATCCCTCCAGAAATAAATCTTATTGGCCATATAAACCTTGATGAGAAACAGTTCCCATCTGAGAGAGGGGTTTGATGACTGGGAGAACATATTAGAACCATTAACTGTGGGGGTCATTGGTAAGGCTCAGAGTGCAGGCTCCCAGGGTAGTGGGTGAGAGGCACAGTAAGGAAAGGCTGGGAACACCAAAGGTCCTTTCTGCACCTTTCCTCTTTGAGCTGGGCCAGGCTTGAGCCTGAGAGAGGATTCATGGGTCTTACCCTTGTGCTCCATTTGCTCACAGGCGGGGCCCCGGCGGCCCAGGGGGCACTGACATCTGCAGCTGGAGCCCTCAAGGATGGGCTCCCCATTGTTGAAGCAAGGCCCACAGCGGCAAGCATTGAACTCCAGCAGGTACTGGTCCAAGGCCCGGCGCAAGTTCTGACGTTTGGTCTCTTGGGGACCCAGGTTTGTGTGCGGCAGCAACTCATAGATGGGCTGCAACTGTGAGCACAAAAAGAACACAAGATGCCTCCCTAGACTCTCTCCTCCTTCCCAGAGTCTGAAAGCTGGCCACCAAGCTTCCTGAAGGCCTCCTAATGCCAGGCACAGAGCCAGGCATTCAACTTTATTACACTGCAGGGATCCTCGCTGCAACTCTGGGAAGTAGGTCTTAAGCTCTCCAGTTTTCCGATTAAGAAGTGGAGGCTCAGATAGTTTGCGTGTCTAGTTCAGGATCACACAGTTATTAAGTGCACAGGCCATTCTGAACATGGACCTACTTAACTCTAAAACCTGTGCTTTTGCTGATCTCAGAGTAGGAGGAGAGTTTCGAAGCTGTGACAACTCGCTCCTTCCAACAGTGACAGGAAGCAGGAAGAGTATAAAGCACTGTGTGTGTGTGTGTGTGTGTGTGTGTGTGTGTGTGTGTGTGTGTGTGTTTTAAGATGGTCAACACTCAATTTAGGAATCAATGAAGTCCTTGATAGGTAGTTGTATCGCTGTTGCTGCGCACTTCTTGGAATGGTGTAGGTGTGGCGGTTGTGTGGGTGTGGGGCTCATTCACGTTTCAGGCAGCCCATTCCAGGCATAACTGTAGCCCAAGGTTTCTCAGCCTTTGCACTGTCGATACTCTGGGCTGAATAATTTTCTGGGGTGGAGGAGGGGTATTATCCTGTGCACCCCTGGTCCCTACCCACTAGATGCCAGTAGCAGCCTCTGAGTTGGGACAACCAAAACCGTTTCCAAACATTGCCAAATGTTCCCTGGGAGGCAAAATTGCCCCTGGTCGAGAAGTAGTAGATGTGATAGAAAGAGCATTGATTCCGGAGCCAGAAAACCTGACTTCAAATCCCAGTTGAATTTCCCAGCTGTGTGTTCTTGGCATGTCCCTTATACCGAGCCTCCCTTCCTTCATCTGTAGAGTGAGAACAATCAACCCATCCTCCAAGTTTATCGTGAGGATTAAAGGAAGTGCTATATGGGGAGAGGAATACCTGGGTGGTGCAGAAGGGTTAACAGATCTCCACGAGTGGGAGTCGAGGTGGCAACTGGTTTTTACATGGGAAAGTGCTTAGCACAGTATCTGTCACAGAGTAAATGCTTAATAAATGCCTATCACTTCCTGGCTGTGTGAATTAGCACTGTTGACTACCCCTCTCTAAACCTGAGCTTTGTTATCTATAAAAAGGGAATAATACTTACTTTCTAGAATTATTATGAGGATTGAAAGAAGTAATGAATGTGATATATCATTGCAAAAGGGAAGAACTATATAAAACATTCTTTCTGCTAGCTAGATTAATGTAGTAAAAAAAAAGCCTATGTTTTTCAAATTGCATTTGCATATGGTCATCTTCAGCATACTTACAATCCTGTGCATTTTAACATGCAATCATAAAATGAGCAATCTTCTCCAGATCTCTCACTTTGCAGAAGAGGAACCTGAGACGCAGCGACAGGGAATAATTAGCCAAGGTCGCAGAGCAAGTCAGTGCTAAGATTGAGCTGCACTGGGGAAATTTCACTTCTCCAGAAACAAGTCAACAGAGGGCACTCACAGTAGCCTTGAATGGGTTCCTGGAAATGTGTACAGAAGACTTGTGGTAAACAGACCCTGGACTGTGGTCAGGGGCTGCAACTGAGGTCACCAGGCAGATAAAGTCAGGACTGTCCAGGCCACCAGCCAAAGGGAAAAGATGACTTACTGGAAGTTCAGGAAATTTGGTCTCCACTGATAGGAATTCAGGGCAGAATGGGCCACCCTGTGGCCCTGAGTAAAGATAACTCTTACTTCTATGGAGGGCCAGGACGGTTGGGCAATTTCTCTTTGATATTCCAGTGAGGCTCAGCACTCAGTCCCCCATGACTCATTTCTGCCGCCCAGAACCCTCAGGAAAAGGGAAGGTAGCACTCCTTGGGAGGGCTGCTGGGGAGTTGAGGGAGAGGAGAGAGGTGGAGTAAAATAAACTTAGAATGTTAGAACTTGAAAAGATGTTGGCAATTGCCTTGTCAACATTTTACAAACGAGTAAACAGATTCAGAGATGGCAAGTGATGTGATATAACACCATAACAGCATAGTAACGTAACATAACTCATTGCATAATATAACAAGATAACATAAAAACATTACATAGCATATACCATAGCATATATCATAACTCATATTGCTATATAACACAACACATAACATAAAACAACCTAACAATATAACATAACACATAATACAATATTACAAACATAACATAACACATAATACAATATTACAAACATAAAACATCATAACGTAAGATAATATGACTCCTACGTTCATTCAGCCTAAATCCCTGCTGTATATAAGCACTGTTAAGCTCTAGGGATTGCAAGTGAATAAGACACTGTTCTCACGCTGAGCATCAGGTTCCAGATAACCCCCTAACTGGTCCCCTGGCCTGTAATCTCTCTCTCCTTCCATTCATCCTTCGTAATCCTGTGAGTGTTCGCTTTTTAAAACACAGCTCTAGCTGTGTCACTTCCCTGCTCTAAAACCTGCCGAGGGCTTGGGGCATGAAGTCCAAACTTCTCAGAGGACAACGTAGATTGTGAAGAGATCGTAGGCGTTAGAGTCAGTCAGACATGAATCAAGTTGGGCTCTGCCATTTGCCGGCTGAGATCTTGGGCAGGTTACCTTTTTCCTCAACTGACATTTGCTAAATACCTACTCCACTCTCCCCAACCTTGTGAACTAAAGTACTCTTAACTCTAGTTTATAGAGTAGGAAACCAAGGCTTGGAGCGTGAAGTAACTTGTCCAAATCAAACATTAAAAATGTGTTTGAGCCATGATTCAAACTATGTCTTTCTCACCCCAACGCTCAGGCTCTTTTTCCAAAAGATAGTATTCGGTCTTCTCAAAAAAAAAATAGTCTCAGTTTTCCCCTTGGAAATTTTGTTCAAGGCAAACACAAAGCTCACTTCTTGCCTATGAAACTTTATATATTTACTCCTGATATCAGTTTTAAGGTTTTTACCCAAATCACTAATAGCTTGATGTTAGCAATTTTTCTGGCCCTATGTGAATTACAGGTGCATAAAAATGGTCCCTTAACTTATTGGAGAAGAATTATAACAGACTTAGAGGTTTAGCTGCTGATGTGTTTTAAGAGATGCAATGTCATCTATACCTGGAATTTTAAATATATATGGAAAAAAATGGACAAGGGTAGAGAGAAAATGGGCACAAACACAATATTTTGATTAGAAGTTCAAAATACAAATTTTCTTTAATTAAATGGACTAGTCTACATATTGATGGAAGTAGTTTGACAACTGATAGAATAATCTACTTCATTTGTAGTCTGAATACAATTTTACTCCCTTTGTGAGGTTAGTAATTTAAGGTAGGATTTCTACACCTTGACATTATTAATATTTGGGGCCAGATAATTATTTGTTGTGGTGGCCGTTCGACGCATCACAGGATGTTTAGCAGCATCTCTGGCCGGTACCCACTGGATGCCAGTAGTGCCCTCCCAGTTGTGATAACCGAAAATATTTCCAGACGTTGCCAAACGTCCCCTTGGAGGCAAAACCTCTTGGTTGAGAATCACTGCTTTAAGGAAGGAGACAGGATTATTGGATGTGAGAACTGGATTTGAAGCCCAGAGGTCTGAAATCCAGGCATTGACACATGAGAGCTATGTGACCTTAAACAAGTCCCTTAATCTCTCAGAGCCTCAGTTTCCTAATCTTTTCATTGGGGAGAATAAAGCCAGAGATTCATTGCAATGAGGAGATAATTTTGAGCAAGGGTAGCAAACCATGGCCTGGAGCCAAAACTACCCCAAAGCTTGTTTTATATGGCCTTTGAGTAAAAAATGGTTTTTACATTTTTAAAGGGTGGTAAGAAAAAGGAGAATGTGTGACAGAGACTGTATGTGGTCCACAAAGCCTAAAATATTTATGATCTGGCCCTTGACCAAAGTAGTTTGCTGACCTCTGTCTTAACAGATGAGATTTTAAAAGTATATAAATATTTTTATATACTTATATAGAAACAAGTTGTTAAAGTATATACATACTTAAATACTTTGAAGTATATAAATAAAGTATATAAATGTAAATTATTTGTGAATGTGGCCTTACCCTGAAGAAATCCCAGACTACCAGTGTAAAACTACCCACTGACAAGCTATTAAGTTTCTGATCCCAGCTCCCTTTGGCCTGGGTCAAAAGTCATGTACTCCCTGAGGGGACAGAAAAGCTGGTCATAGGGAACTCAAGTTCGAGAAGGGAGAGTGTTGACATGTTTTGGGGTTGTTAACCAATGTTATAAAACAATATGTATACTAACTGTTTAATGAGAAACAATTTGTTCTGCAAACATTCATCTGAAGTACAATTAAAAAAATGTTTTTTAAAAAAAAAGTCATGCACTCCCTACAGTCAGGGTGGGGAAGGCCGAGGATTCGGTGTCCCATTACATTTAATCTTGCTCTTTGATGGGCTCGTAATAAGAAATATGAAATGATCTGGTCTGCTTCACTTTCATTCCTCATGGACATAGAGTTTCTTCAACTGCGAAAAGACTTACCTCAAAATCGATAACAATAGGATTATACTTTAATGACCTCCCCCAGAAACGGTATGTAATGATGCTTTCATCGTGTGTCAGGCCACCACTCCAGCCAGCACTGCCACCTCGGACCCGAGAAATGACGTCTTTCACAGCCATGTTCTGCCTGTTGCTTTCTGTCATCAAGAAGATAATTGTGCATTAGCTCATTTCCCAAAAAGCCAAAGGACTGGTTCACAAGCTCCCCTGATAGGATTTGGAACAAAGTCTACGTGCCTTCCTCAGCTACCTCCTATTCTTCCACCTTGCTAGGTTAACTAGTAACACAAGCCAGAAGAGAGGGAACAATACTTAGAAACAGACCCATCCTCTGGAGTGGGGTAGACCCTGGGAGGACAGCCCAGTCCGGCAGATGGTGCCTGGTATGCGGAGAGGATGGGAAAATGGATGGTCATTCATTCATTCATTCATTCATTCATCTCTCAAATGTTGACTCAGTGCCTGCTCTACGCGGAATAGGTTCAATTAAATATTACAGGTACTATGACAGATGTCTTTGTGGGGCTCCGCTGGGGCACTGAGAAAGAAGTGGTCAGTTATACAACAGGGATAGGTGGTGGCCAGGAAGAAAGGTGAGCTGTCTAGAAAGGTACATGGGTGTTTACCATGTAAATGCCAAGAAGCTATTTCTTATAAGAGCCCATTATCAAAGAAAGGAAGCAATTTGACTTAAGACACTGAGCCATAAGTAGCCTAATGCAATAAGAGTAACTTATATACCTGTGTAAAATCTACCTCACCTACTACTCTATAATCTCTTCTTTCTTGCATCCTCTTTTCTCCCACCTGAAAACAAACATCAAATACATGTTTGATGAATGAATGAATGAACACATCAGATTGACTTGTTCAGGAAATGCCACAAAACATTCTTGCACAATCCTTCTTTAATAATTATTCTTTGAACTTGAACTTTGGATAACAATATTCTCCTGTTTCCTCCCCCTGGACTGTAACCTGATGAGCCTTCATTTCAACAGCCCACTTTCAATTCTGTCTACATACTCCTTTCATCCCACTTCTTATTTGGATCTTTGTCTAGTGCTTGAGATTTAGGAGGGTGTCCCATATGAAGTATTTCTAAGGTGCTTTTAGCTCATAATGGATCCAAAATAGAGCCCTAATTGTGGGTCCAAAGGAAAGTCTGCCTTCTCTTCTGGGTTACCCATTACTAAAGACTTACCAGCTCTGTTAGTTATAAATCTTCTACAACCTTCTCCTGATAAAGCTCCTCCAAGTCTTATGGTATTCTTAAAACTAAATTCAATACCCACAAGGCCTCCAAAGCATTTCTTGACATCTTCGCTGGTAATGCCTGCAGATAGGGAAAAACAAAATGCCAAGATGTTAACAGACAGTTGATATGATGCAACCAGATCTGCGTCCAAATCCCCAGTCTTAACCCCAGTTTCAGTTTTGTTTTTTTTTCCCTGCATGGTCCCAACTCAAATACTTTTTGAAATGAGAAGGAATATGTGTTGCATATATTAGATGTTTGAAAATGCTAGTTCTCTTTTTCCTTGTGCATTCTCCACTTAGCCTCCTTGAGGCTGTGATTATATCTCATTCACCTCCATATACCCATGTGCCTGGCCCATTATAGATCCAGTTGCCAGTCCATTTCTCTCCCTCCATTTCACTGTCTTTCCAAAGTCTATTCTTTCTTCAGGCTCCAATTCAAAGTCATTTCTTCCATGAAGCATTCTCCAAAGCTACCCATGTGCTTTGTTTGCACCTGAATGACCATATTGGTCACAATTCTTTTTGCCCCAGCCCTCTTTGTATCCCACAGAGGCTGGCGTCCTGGGAGAACAAGGATAGATCACCATGGGGAGTCTGCCTGTCCTTCTGACCCCACAAGGACGGTCAGTCCCATGTTAACTGTCTCTGTGTTTGTTATCTGAGGGCCTGGTGAGGAACCTGCATTTTGCAGATGAGAAAAATAATGTTCAAGGCAGTAAAGTCAATATTGCCTGATCACATAGCCTCTAAACAAACAGAGCTGGGTTTCCCAGCTCTAGGTCTACCTGGAAAGATGAGGCTAGAAAAGTAGATGGCAGCAAAGTATTAACGATGCTACAGAATTCAACTTTATCTGTAGCTAAAGCAGTCCTCTGGAAGATTGCAAACTCAGTGTGATAATCCAATTTGTGTTTGGAAACATCATTACTTCTAAGTACAATTATAAAAAAATTATTATTAGTCATAGTGATATTCTGTCAACCACAAAGGAAAAATAATTTAGACCTGTAATTCAATTAAGACAAAAATTAGATAGATTTTTTTCAAGGGAGTATTGAGCATCAACATTTACCCCCATTAAACTGCAAACTCTGTGAGGGTAAGGGCTTGGGTCTTAGTCACCACTCTGTTGCCAGCACAGCAGCACATTGTCTAACATAAAGCAGGAGTTCAGTCTGTTATTTTCAGACTACATGATCGATGAATAATTAAAAAAAAAAGATAAATGAATGCTATGAGTTCTTTGGGGTCTGTAGACGGTGCAAGCAGTTAATGTGCTCGGCTGCTAACGAAAAGGTTGGAGGTTCAAGTCTACCCAGAGGTGCCACAGAAGAAAGTCTTGGCAATCTACTTCTGAAAAATCAGCCACTGAAAACCCTATGGAGCCCAGTTCTATTCTTACACATATGGGGTCTCCACGTCTCCAAGTCTACTAGTCGATGGTGACCGGCTCTGAATTCTTTGGTGAGGACTTCTCGTTGAAGGAATCTTAAAAGCCAGAAATCCTGAATTCAAATGCTGGTTGTTGATTCCCTGTAAGAATTCAGACAAGTCCCATGACCCCAGTGGGCCTCAGTTTCTCCCTTTATAGAAAGAGGGTGCCGGACTTGTTCATCTCTAAGTCCCTTTTCAGCCACAGCCCTCTGTGACTCCGTGAATATCAGTTTCTGAATAACCCCAGAGCTGAAAGTGCCTGGGGGAAGTGATACTTTAAGCACTAGCACTTAGCACCAAGCAAAGGGCTTCTTCTGCCTGTTTCCATTCAAGCACTTTTAACTTTTAATGCATTACTAATTGAGGAAGATTTAGCATATTTAATTGTTTTGATTAAAAAATGCTTCAACAGTGATAAACAAAAGTGGATGAAAGGAATTCATGGGCAGAAGCCAGAGTGATTACTTAGGTGAGTGGTGGAGTGCTGCCGAATTAAAGTGACAGGACTGGCTAATTAATGGGAGTCGGAGGATGCCTGTGGAGTGATTATGTTCACGAAGGCTCTGCCGACAGCCTGCAATGTGCTGATGGGAAAAGAGAATTGCAGCTTGATCTGTGTGACTTGACTGCAAAGAAGTGCCTTCTGAGGAACCCCAAGTAGTGTACCAGCAAGCAAGGGGAGGCAGGCCTGAGAACTGATCAAGAATCATAGAACTAGAATGCTAAAAGTGCCCTTCCATACCTAACCCACACTTCTCGTTTATAGTTGATATGCACGAGGTTCATAAAGGTTAATTATCTTGCCTACGGCCACACCACTAAACAAGGATGGAGCTGAGATTCAAACTCAGGTCTGTCTTGTTCAGAAACCAGTTGCCCTTGGGTCAACTCTGACTCATGGGGACCCCGTGTGTGTCAGAGTAGAACTGTGTTCCATAGGGTTTCCAGTGGCTGATTTTTCAGAAGTAGATTACCAGGCCTTTCTTCCGTGGTGACTGTGGGTGGATTCAAATCTCTAACTTTTCAGTTAGCCCCTGAGTACATTAACCATTTGCATTATCCAGGGACTCTCATCTTGCTCAGAAGCTTGAGGTATTTTCACAAAATCTCATTATTGCATTAGACAAAAAGACTTCTGTTTTCAGAGAGAAAATTTAGCAAGCACCTCCTGTGTACCATCCCCAGCACACGGTGTGTTGGGAAATGTAGACACCACAGGAATAATACTACTATTAATGTGATGTAAATCTAAATGTGTAAGGTCCTGCTCCTGAGGAACTAGGAGGTTTTGGGGCAATATATTAAATGAAGACTAGTTTGTATCTTGAGAGTTACTTGTTTCGATACACAGGGGCAAGAAGAGGAGTCTTTCATAAGAAGCGGTGAGATATGCCAAATCAGAGCTATCCGCAGAGAACCAGTGAGAAACCAAGACCAGTAAGCTGGGGCAAGGGTAGGGATAGGAGACCTCAAACATGGTGCCAAAATCCAGAAATTGAAACCGGTGTTGGAGACCAGGACACAGAACCAGAGTGACGAAAGCAAAGAGCAGAGGCTGACAGAAGAGCAGACAGCGGCCTGGAGCAATTGCGTAGAACATGCCCAGATGGGTGTGGGGTGGATGGACTGACTACATTTACAAAACCAGGCAATGTTCTGTCATTGCTCCACCCCATGCCCCATCAGGCTGGACTCCTTAGGTGTCAGCTGTGGACCAGATCAAACTGGAGTATGTTTTGGGCTTTTGAACACAGTGAACTCTAGAGTTGATGGTTCCCAAAGATGGCTACACATGGAAATCTTCTGGACTGCTTATTTAAAATACAGGATCCTGGTCCCTAACTTTATCAATTCTGACTCAATATTTCTGAGAAATCAGAAATCCATATTTTAAAAAACTACTCCAGATGATCCCTATGCAGTTCACCCTGGGATCAGATGCTGAGTACCACAGCCTGGAAAGAACCACTGGTGGTTGGCCACAGGGTGCTGGCGCTGTCTCAGCCAATGCCTTTGTCAATGCTTTGGATGTAGACTTAGCAGCCAGGTTCATCATATTTGCCTAGAATAAGAAATTGGGAAAATCCAAGAATATTTTAGATAAAGAACCAGGACGGAAAAATCCTGGAGAAGGCTGGATGGATAGAGGGCCATGAATAGCAAAATAAGACTGAGTTGGGAAAGCTGTAACATCCTACCCTGGTGACCAAATGTCAAGTTCACAAACACAGTAAGAACTGAACACAGCTTAGCAGGACAACTAGAGAAAAGGCCTTAAGGTTTTAGACAATCTCCAGCTTAGTAGGGCAGTGAAGCCAGGTGAAAAGCCAGGTTAAAATTATAATCACTAAAATAAAGGAGGGGATAATTCACTGTCCTGTGCACAGGTTCAGAAGCTCAGAGTAAGGTGCAAAGTTCTGGGAGCCACACTTTAAAAAAAGAAATAAGAAAACAGAGAGTAATCAGAAAAGAGTAAGCATGAGGGTGAAGAAATTCAAAGATATATTCTTTAGGGAATCCTTAAGGGGACTGAGGATGTTTACCTGAAGAACAGAAGAAAGCACTCTTTTTAAGAGAGACCAATAAGAACTGGATTCAACTTTTTGGAAGATTGTTTTTAAGAAGAACTAGGCTTGTTTGTGTGGTTGCAAGAGCAAGAACTAGGACCAAAGAAACAGAAACTACAAGAAGAAAGGTTTAGGCTCAACATGAAGTAAAACTTTATGATGGTCAAAGGCCACAGAGAAATGTTTCAGGAGGCAATGAGCTCCCTATCACTGGAGGGGACCAAGAAGAGGCTGGATGTTTTCCTCTAATGGGTACCGTAGAAGGGTTTGAATAATTAACTGGTGGTCTTTAAAGGTCTCTTCTAATGCCACAAGTCTGAAATTTATAAGAACACAGAAAAACGCTCTGAAAACATTCCAGACAACTTTGATAAACACCTAATGATCTATTAATGTGTGCTAGGCATCTAGTAAATAAAGATATCTAAGGCACAGTGCTGTTCTCAATGAGCTTACAGTCAAGTATGGAAACGTGGACAATCACATTATTGTACTGGGTGATGATGATTCTGATAAAGGGCAGCAGAGTCAGGGAAGGCTTCCTTGAGGGTCAGAGGAAGGGATACTAGAGCCAAATCAGAAAGAACAAGTAGGTATTAGTCAGACAAAGCGAGAAGAACATTGAGAGCAGAAGACATGTGGAAGGTTTGTCTCCCTAGAAGCAAGATTCTGCTTGGAAAAGCCAAAAGGACCTGAACTCAAGAGTGGAAAATAGGGAGATACAAATTAGTCAAGACCCTCAAGGAATTACTGGGAGTTCCCTGGGTTTCTTCCCACTCTCTAGTCTGGTCCCAGGAAGAGCTGTTTTGGTGCCCACTTGACAGGCCAGGAGCCTAGAGGACATGTCTCTGGCCACCGTGTTTACTGCTTGTTTCCCACCTGGTCTTGGTTGTGGTGCAGGTGAGAGCTGTCCTCATGCCTCCATGGAGATTCTACATAAATGTAACTCTGAGGCAGAATGAGGCAGCTTCACTTTTGAGGCGCTTCAAGGCACCAGAATGGAGCAAGTTTCTGTCATTCCTCAGATTAAAAGCATCAGGTGGAAAACAGCAGATGTAATGCATTATTTATC